TGCTGTCCCACAGCAAGATCCACAAGCGGTCCGAAGGGTCTGCACAGGGCGTCCCCGGCTCGGGGAGCCCCCAGCTTCCGGCCGGCCCCCTGGAGGCCTCGTCCGAGCCCCCCGCCGAGGCCCCGCTGAAACCTGCCCGGGAGCGGCCGCCCGAGCCTCCGCAGGAGGCCCCGGGAGCGCCCCCGCCCGAGCCGGCGGCCGCGCCCCCCTCGCTCTTCAGCTGCGAAGACTGTGGCCGGAGCTTCCGGCTGGAGCGCTTCCTGCGGGCCCACCAGCGGCAGCACAGCGGGGAGCGGCCCTTCACCTGCGCCGAGTGCGGGAAGAACTTCGGCAAGAAGACCCACCTGGTGGCGCACTCCCGCGTGCACTCGGGCGAGCGGCCCTTTGCCTGCGAGGAGTGTGGGCGCCGCTTCTCCCAGGGCAGCCACCTGGCGGCCCACCGGCGCGACCACGCCCCCGAGCGGCCCTTCGTCTGCCCGGACTGCGGCAAGGCTTTCCGCCACAAGCCCTACCTGGCGGCCCACCGGCGCATCCACACCGGCGAGAAGCCCTACGTCTGCCCAGACTGCGGCAAAGCCTTCAGCCAGAAGTCCAACCTGGTGTCCCATCGGCGCATCCACACGGGCGAGCGCCCCTATGCCTGCCCCGACTGCGACCGGAGCTTCAGCCAGAAGTCCAATCTCATCACCCACCGGAAGAGCCACATCCGGGACGGCGCCTTCTGCTGCGCCATCTGTGGCCAGACCTTTGACGACGAGGAGAAGCTCCTGGCCCATCAGAAGAAGCATGACGTCTGAGCGGGCAGGGGCTGCGGAGGCCGAGGGGGGCGGGCTGGGCGTCATTTACACGAGAGTGTTGCCGGGGGCCTGGGCTGTGGGGGGCCTGTGTTGCTGCTGGTGTAGGCAAGGGATGGGAGAGCGGCCGGGGAGCTGGGCCCTGTTAGGGAGGGAGGTCCGACCCCCGGCGCCAGGGAAACCACTCGCAGAGCACCGGACTCTGGCCTCCAGCTGGTGTTTGCTAAGGTTCTGTCCTGACTGCCCTGGGCCCTGGAAGAGTAGCAATAGCAGCTTCACCTACCCCTTAGAGCCCTCCTGCTGGAGGGGCCACCAGGGACCAGGAAGACCCTTCCCCTCTGGTGTTAACGCCTTAATGTCCTTGTCTTTTATTATGAGTTTCTTCGGCTCAGTTTTTGGAAGTAGGTGTGGTACAGTCCTTAGTAAATGAGCACTTGGGAGGAAAAGTGGACCAGCTGGATACACCTGGGAGAACCTGCTGGCCTTGTTAGACAGCACCTAGGCCTTTTCCAGCACTGAGAGGTGAGGCCGCGCTGCTCTAACCTGTCCCACCCCGTCCCCTTCCTCCTGCCCCTGCGTAGGCACCGGGACTCAGACCCATCTACTGTTAGTGCTCAGCTCCACTCCCCCTCCCCGAGATCAATGCACCACCCTCCCAGCGCTTAGAGCATCCCCTGGCTGTCAGCAGCCCCGTGTCCAGGCTTTTGTCTGAACACCCCAACCTTCCACTCGTTCCAGAACTCGACATGGTGGAAAGGACTGCCCCATTGATCATGGAGGGTCGGCTGACAGGCAGAAAGGGGCGAGTTTCCTCTTCTCCATTTCTAGGTTATGGATGCCCAGCCTCTGCTTGAACACTTAGGTGACAGGGAGTCCCCACCTCCTGAGGTCCTGGTTCTATTGTAGGATAATTCTAATTGTTAGAAATTCTTCCTTATAATGAATGGAATCTGCTTTCCTGTAATTTCTACCTATTGGGCCTTGTTCTGTTCTCTGGAATGAAACAGAACAACCACTTACCCTCCTTTTCAAACTAGAGAATAAAGATTTGGTTTTAGAGCTGGTGGCTGAGTGTTCCTTTCTCCCGGTGAGCTGTGTAGTTTGAAAGAGGAGCAGCATGCTCTGCTCTGGGGGGGCCGGGGGGGGGGAGGCAGGGGGCCGCGGGGGAGGAGGGGTGTTGGTAACGGGGCAAGTGCCCCCACTTGAGCTCCTTTGCACCTTGCTCCCAGTTCTTCCCCAGGGGAGGCCAGGCACACCCCGCAGGTGGGGCTAGTTCTGCAGGAACTTAGCTTTCTGTGGGGTCAAGTGAGACCTGTCAGGGGCCAGTAATCAGGAGGACAAGGTCTGATTTGAATGTTCTGCAATGCCTTCCTGGCTGGCCCGCCGATGCTTCCCTGTACTGGCCGTTTCATACACATTTGAGTGCCTATTCTTGACAGGTGTTAGTGGGCCCTTTTCCTGCCAGTTTGAGTAATTTCTGCATAGATCCAGCACCGTGCACACCGTGCATAATAACCACCACAATTTGTTAATGCGAGTGGCACCTCGCAAAGAAGTTTACCCAAATGATCTCCCATAATTGCCGGGTGGTAGGTACTCTTCTTTTACAGATGAAAACATTTGCTCAAGGTCATATAACCGGCAGTCACCAGAGGCGATTTAAACCCAGGTCTCTCTGACTCCTGGAATGTGTGCTCTTGACTATCGCCACATGTTTGTTAGGGGAATGGCGTATGCTGCTGCTTTGGTGAAGATAATTATCCAATGCCTACCGTGCTTGATGTGATGGCAACTAGGGGTTTTACCAAGGTAAGACCTTGTCCTTACCTCTAAGAGGCCTAAGTCTGGGGAGGACGTATATGTGTACACAAATAATGAGCAGAGGGAGATGGATGGGGGGGAGTGGGACTCCAAGTGTGTAGGATGGAAGCAGATAGCTTCCAAGTTTCATATTGGTTGAAGCCACTTCATGCCTTCATGGAGCCACTTAAAAACCTGTATAGTTAATGGCAAATTATCTTTCAGAGACTAGAGGCATTGACTCAAGAATGCCACACTTCAATATGTCTCTTTAAGGGACCCCAGGGCTTCAAGGGAAGGGGAGCAATGCTTTTTGGGGGGCAGGAAAGTAGGTCAACGTCTAGGGATGATGGGCAGGAACCAGGTCCTCAGGCACCTAACGTTTGTACTTGGGGGTTGGGGAAAAGGATGAGGGCGAGGGAATCTGACCAGGGCTCCTGACTTTGAAAGATCACCTTTAAAGGAAAAGCTTGGGGGTGGGGAAGGCCGGCACTGGGCGTCCACTAATGCTGTGCTGCACCTACTTTGGGGTAGAGATGATTGAGGAGAGGTCCAAAGTTGAGGGAAAGCCACAGAAGTGGCCTTGAGGGGGCTGGTCAAGCTGGGACAGAGTGAACTTGTCCATGGGTCCTTCCTGGGTCCCGCAGAGGACCTGGGGTTCCCAAGTCATTGCTCAGCATGGCACATACAGACAGCGGTCTCGAGGGAGGAACTGCTCAGGTTGGAGGGGTCACAGTTCTGCTGACAGGAGCTACTCTTCTGTTCTGAGGTGCCCAGGGTTCCCCCCCCTTTTTCTTCTACAGCTATAAAAGTACTCAATTATCTTGTCAAAATTAATAATGCAGACATATATTTTCTAAATATGGAAGTCTTTCATTCCCCCCTCCCCCTGTTGTCTTTTCTTTTTTCTTAATGTAAATAGGATCCCAGATGTGCTTCATTCTTTCCGTCCTTGAAATACCCTTGGTCATGAAATGCCAATCTGGAGGAAGACTTTCACTCTGTAGAGGAGGAAACATGCCCAGAGAGAAGTGGGTTTTCTCACTCATAACCAGTGGCAGATCTGGACCTAGAATACTGGAATTCCACAAGCCTTTGGTTAAACCTCCAGAAGGTCCTCTAGAAAATAAAGAGATGAACGGGATTCTTTAAAAAGTTGATGGCCTAGTGGTATCTGGTATCTGTGTAGGCTTTTATACTTTACAAATGTTTCTATAGACAATAGAACCAATTAGGGTCCTGCAAAAGTCTGGAAAGGTAAGCATGTAACTAGGAAATTACTCTTTTACAGATAAGTCAAAGTGCAGAGACAGAAAAGCTGCACAGAAGTTAGTGGCAAAACCGACAGACTCTCAGTCGGACAGTGTCTGTTGTCCTGAGGCCAAACAATAGCTGGGCCCACGGCAAATGCTTAGTAGGCGGCCATGGATTCATTAGAATGAGGTCCACCAGCTTCACGGTAGGTTTGTAGGAAGTCTCAGAGAGAGAGAGAGAGAGAGAGAGGCCAGCTTCTGTTTTTATCAACCTCGAGTCCCAAAGGCAGTTTCTAAGCAGCTCCAGAGAGAATCCTGCCAGTGGGAGTTGACCTAGCTAGCCTGATGTAGCAGTGTGTGGAATCTTATTGACATAAAGGAGCATTCCTTCCAATTAGTGTGGGTAGAGGAGAAAATTCTCTTTTCTGAAGATCTCCAGGCCGTCTGGACCCTGCCTCTAAATCAGCAGTGACACTCCACCTTGGAACGTGACCTCTTCAGACCGCTGTTTCCTGAGGAGGAAGCGAGGGGGTGAATTTAATGAGGTCTCCGTCTCTCTGTCTCTCTGTCTCTCTCTCGGAGACCCCAGGACAGTTTATCGGGCGCCCACGACGTGCCTAGCGCCGCGCGGGGCAAGTACAGCTTCTCACCCTAACACTTGGTGTACTGTAGTGCCAGGTGCCACCATGTCACATGCACACTCGAGTGTGAGCGTCAGAGTGGGGTTCGTGCGTCCTGTTCTCCCGGATGCCGGCACCAAGAGCGGTGCGGGCTCGTCCCTGAGTCGGACGGAGAGCTGAAGAATGACGGGATCGATCTGAGAGCGCGTCCGCCGGGCCAGAGCCGGAGGGATAGCCCGGCGGAGGGCAAGAATATGGTGCCGCGGCGCCGTCCGGTCACCAGCACCCGGCCTCGCCCTCGCTCCTCCTCCCCTCGGAGCCCTGGACTCGGGTCCCGCGCCAGCGGCCAAAGCGTTAACTCCGCGCGGGGCCCCGCGAGGCCCAGCGGGCGGCGAGGTCAGCCCGCCCACCAGGGCTATTGGCTCAGGAGAACAAAGGGGCCGCCCCGCGGGCTTCTCCGATAGGGAGGAGCTGGTCATCTGAGCGGCGCAGCCAATCAGGCGGCGGGACGGCCCCGGGGATGGCCGGCCCGTTAGCCAATCAGGGGGAGGCGCCCGCCCCGCCTGTCCCGGGACTGGCGGGGCCGGGCAGCCCAGTGCCCAAGTCGCCCGGGGTGGCAGTTCCCGTTAACCTTAACCACAAAGTCAAGGTATTTATTCCCGTCCCCTCCCTCCGAGTCCCTCCGAATCCGGGCGGGAGGGGCGTGCGGAGGGACGGACCGTGCTGTGGGGCCAGCGCCCGGCCCGCTCCTCGCGCGCTGCCTCCACCCAGCCTCGGGCTGGCGGCGGCCTCTGGGGTCTCGGGGCCCCCTGAGCCCCTGGCGTTGCGGCTCCGAACTTTCCTCGCCCCCACACAGCCCCTGGGGAAAGGGGCCCGGGTCGTGCGTGGGAGGGGGCTGCAGGCGGGGGCAGAGAGCAGGAGGGGGGCCGTGAGAGCGGGAGGGACGGGATGGTGAGCGGGGGGTGAGGTGGGGGGCTGACCCCCGGTCCCCTCGGGCGCGTTCTGCCCAAGCGCTGGCCCTGTGTTCGGGTCTGTGTCAGCTGTGTCGGAAAGACCGAGCTTTTGGAGGGCAGGAGCCCCAGTGCTCGCTGCACAGTGACACAGAGTAGGTGCTTAATAAATGATTAAATGAGTGGGCATAAAGATTGGGAGTGCGAACGAGAGGGAAGCACCACAGAAATTGGAAGTGCGTGCGTGTGTGTGCGTGTGTGTGTGTGTGTGTGTTTGGGGGTGGGGCTCCATTCCAGGAAAATGGGCACAGGAGTCAAGACCTCAGTGGGGGCGGGGGTAGGAGCTGGGGGCTTCTTTCCCCTGTAAAGGTGGAGGAGAATCCGTCCTTTGGGCGGGTGGAGCCTGGAGCGTGTCCTGGTCAGCTAGACCTGGGGTTGGGTGTGGTCAGAGCCCAGGAGCTTGACACTGGCTGCTGTCCAGGCTCCATTATTAGCTCCTCTTTTTGGGTCCCTGTGTTCATCTGTAAAATGAAGAGATTAGAGGATATTAGTCTCCTTTCAACCCTAAGGTTCCATGATTCTGTGCTTCTAATCCGTTTTGGACTTAAATTTCTGTATTGTAAGTGTTTTTTTTATTAAAATTTTTGTTAATGGTTTACAGCACATGGGACCTTGGGCCGGATGTTGGGGAGAGAGAAATACTCCATGTTAAGATGTTTACAGTTTTGTTGTGGAGACAGATAAATTATTATTATACCATGTATATGGTAGCGGCCTGGGTGGGTACACAGGTCAAACAGAGAAGGGCCCCTAACTGAGCCTGGCATATCCAAAAAGGCTTCCCGCTCAGAGCGATCCTTGATCTAGGCTGGGCAGAGAAGAGCTGGGCAAGAGTATTCCAAAACTGGTCACAGGCCGGCCAAGATGCTGCAAGGTCAGGGAGTCACATGTTGGGACAGGAGAGCTGGGAGGCAGGAGAAGCGAGCAGAGGCCGGGTTCTAAATGGTCTTGCCGAGAAATTTTTAGCTGAACCTGAAAGTGCTGGGGACCCCTTGGGAAGTATTTTGAGCAAAGTAGTAACATGTCCTCATTTTAATTTTAGGGAAATTGCTTTGAGTTCTGGGTGATTGAATGGATTGGAGGGGCAAGATAAGCTATAAAACTAGTACAGTCTTTGGGCAAGAAACAGTGAGGCGTAAACTGAGGTGGGGCAGTAGGAGATCTTGGAGGTATTAAAAACAGCACTGGTACAACTTAACGATGTATGTGTTTTGACAGTTGTACTCTGGGGTAGTGAAAGGTGGTGGTGGTTTTGAGAGGCCTGATGAAGACCACTGTCCCCCCTGAAGAGGCAAGGGCTACCCAGGACAAAGTGCAGAGCTTGGTGGAGGTGGGGTGACCCATGCACCTGCACCCTTGGTGAGAGTTAAGCTGAGGAATCCCAGATTTCCTAGTGCAGTGTTGGCTGGGAGGGAAGAGTATGGTCAGAGTGTGCAGAAGGAGACCTTAGGTCTAACTGTCTATGAGGCAATGGATGTCACCTCTGGGCTTTACTTTCCTCATCCGGCAAGCGGGGAGTCAGTGGGGAGAAACACTCCTTACTCTTACCCTTTCCAAGCTCTTTTGAATGAAGCAAGGGGTTGGAAAGTGTTTATAAGTGAAAATGTGACATCTGTTCAAAGTGTTGTTAGCAGTCAGTTTCATGTCTTGCCTTCAGATTGGGTCATGGGGGTCGCCAGGCCTTGGCTGGCTCCTGAGTCTTGGACCTTGGGCAAGGAATGTGGGTGCTGATCTCTCCTCTAAAGGGAGACAGGTTAGCAGAGCTGGGGATGTGGAGGCCATGGGTGAGGGACAGGCATAGAGGCAGGGAGGTGGGGTGGGGCAGTCCCCCCAAAGGGGTGAACGTTGGGTGGGTGGAGGCAGAAGCTCTGGAAGGAGGTACCTCTGAGACTGGCCTGGGGTTACATCTTGGACCTCCGGGGGGAGGGGGGCAGGCATGATAGGATAAGGCAGCTGCCCCGGCTCTCCATGGACTTGGTTCCCAGCGGACGCTGGTGGAAGCAGCCTGAGGTCATTAAACTGGGCTGTCCTTACCAGGGCAACCCTGAGTTACAGTTATTATAATGTGGGAGGCAAAGAGGGGGTGACGGCAATGTGGCGACCTAAAAATAATTTGTCTTGCACTTTGTGAATGTTTCCCACTGTTTTCCCCCCTTGCTTGATAGGACAAGTCTATCCATAGGAATAAGTGTTATTATTTTCCAAATAATAATTTGATAATTTCTGTGGAAGGATGGCCCGCCCTTTTCCCTTGCTCCTCTGACCCCTCTCCTAGGACTGAGGACCACAGTGTTTGGGAGATCGAGATCTGAAGGTCCTGGAGCAGAAGAGGGGGAAGGGGCAGGGCTTGGAAGAAGGGCAACCGTGGGAGGTGCACGGGACCCTTGATCCAGTGCTGAGTGCGGGTCTGGGGAAGCTGGAGAGGAGGGAGGCCTTCTTGAGGAGCAGGGTGGGGGAGGGGAGAGGAAGATGGGGTGGAGGCCCTGGAGGGGTTGGGGACTCTTGTGGGAGTCGTAGAAGGAGTAGAAGGACGTTGGGCGTGCTCATGCTGGGGTGAGGGATGGAGGCGGGCCTCTAGGCAGTGGCTGCGACACTTCCCTGGTCTGAGCTAGGACCTCTGGGCCTGCTTGTCTGTCTGTGGGCCCGGGGGCCATATAAGATGGGAAGCAGGTCTCCAGGGGCTCTGGCAGCAGCTGTGCTGTGTTTCTGATAACATTTTAAAGCCACTGGTTTGTGTGTCCTCGTTGGTCCTGAACTCTGGATGAGAGGAAGGTGGGAGGTCTGATGTGTCCAGCGGACTGTCCAGAGGCCAGCCAGGACACAACCCCAGGGGACAGGCCTTGTACAGGAGTGGCATTTGTAGGACGGCCTTGGGGGAGGGCCTGGTGGCTTTGGAACAGGTCCTGGGAGACAGGAGACACTGCCTCCTTCCCCTCAGTGAAGCTGAGGCTTTGAGCTGTAGGCCAGCAGAAGCATCTGAAGCTTGTAGCCCAGCCCCCCTGCCTGGCGCTCAGGCCCCCCAGCCTCCAGCCCCGCTTTCCTTACCACCGCCCACCCAGCCGCCTCCACTCCTACCCTGTGAGGTACCCGCACCCAGTCCAGAGCCTCCCCCAGGGCTGTTGAGGGTCCAGTGACCTATACAAGGAGCCGTATGCGGCCTTGAAATGGTCCCGACAGGAAAATCCGTGCACACCCTCTTCTTCCTGCCAGGTCCGCTCACATCGGGGAGCAGAGTTTGGGGTGACTGGGTGGGTGCTGGGGGCCTCTGAGGATTCTGAAGCAGCTGGAGGCGTGAAGGATTAGGAAGAGTGAGCAGCAGTGGTCCTTTGGAGGGGGCTTAGGAAATGGGGAGTGGGTGAGAGAGACACGGCTGGTTTGTAGGCTGCGGGGAGCGCAGTGTGCTGCAGATGGGCCCCGCCCAGTGCTCGAGACAAACCTGTGGGCAGGCCTTTTCAGTCACCTTCACCTTAGGAACCCGAGGCCCGGAGGTAAAGTGACTTGTCAACCACTGGTGGCTTAGAACTCAGGGCCCTGATTCCCAGTCTAGGCCTGACATGGGCCTGATGTGGGGGTCCTGAGGAGAGGGCAGCCTTTGGGAGCAGACTCGGCTGAGGGGCTGGCCCTGTGGAGCTCAGGTTCCCAGGGCAAAGGGTCTGCTGCTTCCTCTGGGGCTAGACCCCCTGCACGCTGGCCCCGCGAGGGATGTCTTGCTGCTCTGGGCTTGCCCGGCAGAGCCCAGTTCTCTGGCTATGGCTTTCTGTGCCGGGCCAGCTTCTCCCCAGCCAGCCGCAGCCCTGGCTGGCCCCGTGCCATCCCCCACCCCCAGCATGGGGGCCCTAACGGGTGACCGTCCCCCATCATACTGCCTCGCTTCCGTCTCCCTGAGTTCCCTTTCTTGGAGCAGTGGGCAGCTGGGAGCGTAACTGTGTGATGCAGAGGCGCACATGTCCGCGCTCACGCGCGCACCGCGTGGCGTTGGTGCTTCTGTGGTTCATGCCCGCGCGCTGGTTTCTGTGGGTCTGCAGGCGTATCTGTGGGTTTCTCCGTTTCTTCGTACTTTACATACAGGTTTGCAGCTGTTCTCACGTACAAGCATCTCTGTATGTTTGCATCTCTGAACCTTGGTTTACTGAGCTGTGTTCGATGTGAGATACGATTGTTTCTGGATGTGATGGTGTGTGCGGTTAGCGTTTACATCCCTTTCTTCTCCGGTGCCTGTAATCGCGTATTGTAGATGGAAACATCCACTGACAGTAATTGCAATTGGATTCCCAGGCAGAAAACCCCATCACCTTGTCCCTAGATGGTTGTCATCTGGCCAAGGACTGGGGCCAGAGGAGCCCCCTCTTCACTCCTCCACTCATTCATTCATTCATTCATTCATTCAGTATACAGGTGCACCACAGGTGTATTGCAGGCTCGTTTCCAGACCCCTGCAGTAAAGCAAATATTGTGATAAAGCGAATCAGGTGAATTTTTTGGTTTCTCAATGCATACAAGTTATGTTTACACAATACAGTATCTGCTACGTGTGCAACAGCCATATGTCTGCAGTGATAACATACATACCTTCATTAAAAAATACTCTATTGCCAAAACGTGCTGACCACCATCCGGGCTTTCCGCAGGTCATAATCAC